GAACCCCAGATAGTCCCAAGACGGCCCAAACTCCTCGAGATGACCCATGAGCGTCCCAGGACGACCAGAGAGGGCCGTCCGACGGCCCAGGAGAGGCACCCAAGGAGCCCCACGAAGGGCCCGAGAGGCCAGATTTGTTGATTTCACGAAGGTAGAAGACTCCAACCGAGCACCTCGGGAGTGCGAGTACTGAATTCGAAGGCTGCTGCTGGTCCTAAGCGCTCTATGGGCCCTGCGACTTAAATGCGCTCCGCGATGAGTTTAACGAGCCCTCTCATCCAGATGGGCCCTATGGGCCCAGACACCCCGAGCTTGCGATGCTTGGCCTCTCGACCCCTTCGATGATTTCATGCTCGCGTCATCCTCGCAAACCTTGTCCGCCGCGCGTGGGCGCCGTGGTCTGCCCGAGGGGGGCGCGGCAGGCGAGCTCATGCAGCGGCTCGTGCGCTGCTGGGCGCCGCCGCTGCCCCCGGCGCGCAACCGCTGGGCGTTGACTTGCATCCGCGAGCTCGAGGCGCAGTCGCACGAGCAGCGTGCCGCAGCAGACGTGCTCGCAAACGACGGGCCAGCTGAACCAGATCAGGCGCTGGCGGCTGACCCCGCGTCCGCTGAAGCTCCGCCGTTGTCCCCGGAACTAGCGTTCCGGGAGTTGGCGACTGTGCCGCTCCTAGACGCTGCGAGCGCGAGACCGATGCGGTCGCGAATGCGCGAGCGCGCAGACGTCGAATCTCTGCTTTTCGTCAAAGACAATCTGCGCGACATCGGCGTCGCGTCGCCCGCGCAGCAGACCGTGTGAGCCCTGTGAGTCCCGTGGGACCTATGAGCCCTATGGGTTCTATGAGCCTTGGGAGCTACGTGCGCCCTATGAGCTCTATCAGCCTTGCGAGCCCTGTGGGCCTGATGGGCCCTATCAGCCTTGCGAGCGCCAGGGGCCCTATGATACCTATGAGCCCTTCGAGCCCTATGGGCCCAAGGTGCCGCATAAGCCTTATGAGACCAAGGAGCCCCATGGACCCCGTGGGCCCTGCGCGGCCTTTGAGCCGCGCGGGGCGTGTGAGCCCTGCGAGCCCCGCGGGCCCAATGGGCTCCATGGGCCCCGTGGGCCCTATAAGCCCGATGAGCCGTGAGCCGCGTGAGCCCCTTGCACTGTGCGCCCCGTGCGCCCCGTGGGCGCCGCGAGCCCTGTGCGCCTACTGGGCCCCATGGGCACTTCGCGCCCTATGAGCCCTTTGAGCCCCATGGGCCCTTTCAGCGCCATGAGCCCTATGAGCCTCGACCTATGGGCCTTCTGCGCCAATGGGCCCTGCGAACCCTATGGGCCCCGTGAGTCTTCATTGGCCCGATGACGTCCTATTTTCCCCGCGCAGGCAGGAATCGCCATCGCCATTATCATCTCCATCATCTGCGTCCGCGTGAGCACCATCATTGTTCATCATCAGCTCCGTCATTGTCGTCTTCATCATCGGCGCCGCCGTTATCCTCGCCTCCAATATTCGGCTCGAGTGGACTGACGCCCGTTGCGCACTGCAGCTCGACGCATGTCGGCGACTCGGCCCCGACGCTCGCGATCGCGCAGGCGACCGAGACAACCCAGTCGAACATCCGTCTGGGCCCGCGCTTCAAATCGGCCGCCTCCTCCGCGCCGACAGTGACCCAGTCGCGCAGTGGTGGCGACCGTGCGACGGCATGTGCGCTCATAGAATTCTCTGGAGTGCAACGACGTCGGCGCCCTGAGGAACGCTGGCGCGAGGCTCGCCGTTGCCGCCGAAGCGGGAATTGTCGGGGCTGGCGAGCTGGCGTGCGACCGCGGATCGTCGATTCTCGCAAGAGACGCGATGGCCCTGCCTGGAGCCCCCCGCGGCACCGTGGCCGCCGCGGAGAGCTTGCTGCCGCTTGGGTCGAGCACCTGCCCGTTCTTGAGCGAAAGCTGGGCCCGCGTGAAAATTGCGCGCGAGGGGGGGCGGCTCCGGGCGCGGCGACCTCTCGCGAGCACGTGGCCGACCATGCAGTGGCTTTGCTTGACCAGGCGTTCGTGATGGCGAAGGTGGAGGTCCCGGCCCAGGACAACGAGGCCGCGTGGCAAGCCTCCGCCGAGGTGTCGACGAATCGCGCGCGTGCCCAGCGGGCATCGGCGACTCTGCAAGGCGCGAGGTTCACCATCGATGAACTCACCGACGTCCGCGTCGAGGTAGCAGACGACGCGCGCGAGGCCGCTGCGCAGACAATCATCAGTTGCGTTTCTCAGTGCCCGAGCACCATTTCGGCGGGGGGCGCCCGCTTCGGTGCCGCGACGAGCCCGTCGCTCGTCGTCGTTGCCGACGCGAAGACCGCGAACTCCACCGGGGTCGCGGCGGCAAGGGGCGCGAAGCCGAAGAAGAGCGCGGCCAGACGAAGATGGTGGTCTGGAGGCGCCCCTCCTCGAGTGCGCTCGCGCGCGCGACTCGGCCGCGCGGCGCTGCCGAACGAGCCGGGCGCCCCGTCGCATCCGCCTGCTCGGCGGCTGCCCGTGGCGCGCGGGCGCCCGAGAACACAAATCATCGCCCCTGTCTGCTCGCGCGGGAGACTTTGCCCCGCCGGCTGCGCGAGCCAACGGGGCCCGAGAGCCTACTGCGTCTCGCCCGCCGAGAGACTTCCGCTGAGAGGTCGAGGAGCCCCGCGAGCCCGCGCGCGCCCTATGGCTATCATGGGCCCCATGTGCCAGTGGAGCTCCGCTGGCTCAACGACGTTCTCAGCCCTGCGAGCCCCATGTTGTTTCTTGTGGCAGTTATGGGCATCGAGAGCCCTATCAGCCTCATGGCCCCAGAGAGCCACGTGGGCCCCATCAGCTCCATGAGCCCCGCGAGCCGCGCGACCCCCGTCGGCCGCGCGGCCCCGATGCGCCCTTGGAGCCGTCTGGGCCGCGCCCCGTGGGCCCCGTGGGCCCCGCGAACCTCGCGAGCCCCATGGGCCACCGCGATGGCCGTGGGCCCTGTGCGCCCCAAGACCGAAAGAAGCTGCGGGGGCCTAGCGGGCCAAACGGGCCCGACGCACGCCGCGACCCCGATCGCCTGGGGGCGATGACCTCGTTGGGGCCCCAGGGGCCTCGTGAGCCCCGCGGGCCCGATGGGCCTCGCGCCCCTTGTGGCCCCTTGACGAGCCCCCTCGGCCCTATGAGCACCGTGCCCCGCGCGCGCAATGAGACCCGTGACCCCAATGGGCCCCGCGTGCTCTATGGCCCCTGTGGGTCTCGTGATCCTTGCGAACCAGGCTGGCTGGATTGCCCCGCGCCCTAATGGGGGCCCCGAGCCCCTGCGCCCCAGCGGCGGCGGAGACCCCCCTGCGCTCTCTGCGCCGCAAGAGCCAGTTGGTCCCATCAGTCCCGCGTGTCCCATGGGGGGCGCGCGGGGCTGGGGCTGAGGGCGCGGCGTTGCGCCCCTGGCGAGGGCCGGGGGTTTGGGGTTCAAAGCCATTTCCCGCCGCGCCGACCGCGAGCCCTGCCGAGGGTGGAGTGTCGCTTTTCTTTCAAGCCACTTTTCTCATGCACGTGTCTGCTCGCAATGGCGCGCGCGCGCGGCCTGCTCGTCGTCGGGCGCGCCCCCCGCCGCGGCCGACGAGCGGAGCCGACGCGGGCGCTGCGGCCAGGACCTACCCGGCGCGGCCGCTGCTTCTACTGCGGCCGCTTGGCCACCGCTGCCGCCGGGCCCCCCCGCCGCTGCAGCCGCCGCGCCGCCCGGCAGCGGGGGGGATTGCAGGCTTGGCGCGCATCGCTGCTCCGGGAGTGGCTGGAACTGGACATTTTGCAGCGTGTGCCGCTCGTCGCCGCCGCTGGGGTCAGCGCTCCTGATGACCTTCCGGCGGAGCTACCCACGGAGGTCCCCGTGCTCCACAATTTGCTAGACAGTTGGGGTACAATTTCGCGACGGGCGACCCCTTGCAGCTACCGGGGTTCGCTCGCCCGGAAAGGCTTGGCCCCTCAGAGCTCGGCACCGCGCCCCGGCTCCGCTCCGCCGGGTACCTGCCCGCAAGGGCTTCGCCCCATGTCGTCGGCCCGCTGTCTCGGATAACGGGAGATCCAAAAGCTAAATCATGAAGTCTGGGCGCCGCCGTGAATCAGTGTCGGGGCCTGTTTGTTTTTCGACCCAGACCGTGCGGATCTGCGTCGCGGGTGCCACGGGATTTCAGACATGTCGCAAATCCTTTGTGTTTTTTGGACCCTGATTCTGCGGATCTGCATGGGGGGTGCCGCCGGATTTTAGAAATTTGGCAAATCTTTTCGGTTTTTGCACCCTGGCCCTGCCGATCTGCGTGAGGGGTGTTGCCGGTTTGTAGAAATGTGGCGAATCCCAAGTTTTTGGACCGTGGCCTGGCCGATCTGCGCGAGGGGTGCTGCCGGATTTTAAAATGTGGCGAATCCCATGTGTCTTTGGGCCCTTCCCCGCCGATCTGCGCGAGGGGTGCGGGTAGATATCAGAAATGCTTCATATCCGGTGTGTTTTTGCACCCTGGCCCCGCCGATCTACGCGAGGTGAGGAGTGCCACCGACTGCCAGATATGTTGCAAATCCTTTCTGTGCTTCTGCACCCTGGCCCCGCCGATCTGCGCGAGGGGCGCGGGCAAATTTCAGAAATGTTTCAAATCCGATGTGCTTTTGGGACTTGGCCCCGCCGATCTGCGCGAGGGGCGCCGCCGGATCTCAGAAATGTTGGGAGGCCCATGTGTTTTTGGACCCTGGCCCCGCCGATCTGCGTGAGGGGTGTTTATTTTGCCCGCCCCGGCAATTCAGAGCACGCGCTCAGGGCGCGGTAGACGCGCCCGCTTGGGCCCCCCCCCATCGCGCGGCCCATCAACGAGGAACAGTGGGCAGCATGAAAAAGAATTGTAACAGTGGAGACTGGGAGCTGCAACTGGCAGAGGAAACTGCGAAGCTTTGGCCTGCGGCCTGGTGGCCCCGCAAGGGGGCCGGCGGATTACCAGCAGCGAGGGATCTTGCCGAGCCGACTGCTCAGACCCAGCAGTTGGAGGCCCTGCGCATCAAGCTGGGCGCCGCTGAGACGCGATGCGTGTCCGATCTGGGGGGGGCCCCGTGGTCCCGTGGGATGGTTAAGAGTGAGTGGGCGAAGGTCTGCCAGAAGTTCGGCTTGGATGCGGCTTCGCACGTCCTGAAGTTCATCCCCGCCGAGTTCAAACTTGCAGCGCAACTCTCTGACGTTCTCGCGGTCCGCAACGACCGGGCCCCGCCGATCGCAGCGGCCAGAACGGTTGCGGAAGCCGTGGGGCGTGGTGACGCGAAACGGGTGGATTTGGTGCAAAGCGCTTCGTTGGTGGTCTGGCTTCCTTCCGATTCGAACGCCCCCTCTCGGTGCCTGGCCGCCGACTTCCGACGCTTCGCCGCCGGGCCAGGGCCGCCCCTCGCGATCATGCTCGCGCGCGCCCCCAACGTCATTGGCGAATTCAGCGTTGACGGGGTCGCAGATCTCTGGGGCTCATCGATTCTTCTGGACACGTGGGCCGCGTTCGTCAAAGTGGTGGCGCGCGCCCCTTTCCCCTTCGAGCTGCTCTTCACGGCCAGTAATGGCGCGCCGAAACACTTTAGGGGCGGCCTGGGTATGTTCTCCCTCCGTCGGAGTGGCCCCGTGAGACCCTGGCGCATGCTCGGGGTCGACGCGCCCTCGAGCACCGGAGCGCCGGGTTGTCGTCGTCGACGTGCGCGTCGAATTCTTGGCGGATTTGCTGCAGCGCTTGCGCGCGCGCGTGCTCCCTGGGATCAGCTGCCGCTTCCACGGACGCAGCGCCGCTGGCGCATCCGAGCGCCCGCGGGTCGCAGTGGAGCTCGTCGTGGAGGGGGGGGCGACAGACATCGAGAGCATGTCGATCGTGGAAGAGCTCCGTCGCCAGCGCCTTCCAACTGGCGCGTTCTACGCCTTCAAAAGCATTGTGGGGGCGCGGGGTCCGCTGATCCTCGAGTTCGGCAGCCCCGCCTCCCTCAACTCGCTGCGGCCGTTCTGCTCCCAGCTGCGCGTCCTCGGCAACTCTCGGGCGCTGCTCTCGCAGATGCCGCCGCGGACATTTGGAAGGCCAAGATGGGCGAGCTCTTCCGTCTGAGCCCTGCCGGGGCTGCGTTGCGGGCCCTCCTACCGCGGCGTTTGCGCGGCGATTGCGACCCCTGGGGCCGCCGCGCTCCAGCTCGGCGCGCAGAGACAGAGAGGTGGCCGAGCGGTGTCGGCAGTGGATGGCGTCGCGGAGATCATTCCTAGAGGCGACCGCTGGTGCTGGATGAGCTCACGCAGCGCGCGGCCCAGCATGCGGGCCTCAGCATCACCCGCGCCGCAGACCCTGACCATCCGCGGGCGGGCGAGTGCATGCGCGCCCCGATTCGCGCGCCAGCTACGCCCTCGGGTTCGGTGTGCGTTTTGGCGAAGAGTCAGGAGGATATCCGCAAGATCTACGCGGCCCTCCATGGCCAGTCCATCTTGGTTGGCCATGATCACGTGGTGGTGGATCTTCGGAACGACTTGGTGGAGGTCCTGAACCAGTGTGGAGGGGGTCCGAGGGCGGGGCAGCAGGTGCCGTCCGCGCCCTCGAATCGAGGCACCACGACGACAATTTGTTCGAAATTCATTGCAAGGACACCGCCGGAGCGCAGGTCATCGTCGCTTCGTCGTCCTTCGCGTCCACCTGGGGTGCCTCTTTGGGCTGACTGGTTTAGACCGCGACAGGGCGTTCGGCGGGCACCCGGGCATCTCCCGCTCTCGTCCCCGCGCTGCCTCCGCGCTCGCACGAGCTCGCCCCTTGTGCCGCTCGCGCATGCCGCGCTGCTGGGGCCCCCACTACGCCGCGCGCGCGCCTTCCTCGGGGCGACCTCCGTCCGCGACCACGTCTCCCCCCACTGGCCCTCGCGCGGCGCCGGGGTGTCCGCGACGATCCGGAGACGCCTGAGAGGGATGGCGCGCCACTTCAGCTTCGTTTACATCGATGCCTCCCCCGCGCCCTCGGTCTGCTTCCGCGGGTCCAACCTCTTCCCGCCCTCTGCGACCGTGACCAGCCTGCCAGTCCACTGTCAGTGGGGAAGTGGGGCCAATTTTCTGGGGACTTCACTATCGCGATGTGGGATGCACAAGCCTTCTTCGCGGCTAAACCCCGCGGACATGCCCCAAAGTCGTCGCGCGTGCATCGCCTCGCGAACTCCTCCGACGTCCTCCTACTGACGGAGACGCGCGGTACGGAGACGGGCAATTCTACTTGACCTGGTCCACCTGTTTGCACTGCCTGGTGGTCGGAGGGCCCTGCAGCGGGCCATGCTGAAGTTGGCGCCCTTGTCGAGAACGCCTTCTTGCGCCAGTTTGAAGACCCGCCGCGCTGGCAGCGCACGTGGCGGCCGGGCTGCCATTCTCTGCCTCGGGGGTACCAGAGGGCCCATTGACTTGATCGTGGATTGCTCTCCGGCGGGCGCCCGCGCGAACCCTTCGGAGTTGGACCTCGCGGAGGTCCCAGAGCAGTTCCACGGCGACCTCTCCAGCTTCCCGAAGATGCGCGAGCACACGTGGCAGCTGGTGGCTGACGACGTCAAGGACCGCGCGCGTTGCCTCGCGATCTTGGGGGGTGATTTCAACTGCGTCGCTGGCGACGTCGGCCGCATCTCTTTGGACACGGCGTCTGATGCTGGCCGCCGGGGCGGCTCGTTTCCGCAGCGTTCTCGCCGCTCGGCGCGGTCTTTTTGAGCTACGCCGAGGGAACTTCGCGCGCGCGTCGGCGCAGGCCAGGTCGCGGCTAGACCGGATACGCGTCAACCATGACGTTGCCGAGCAGTTGAGCCAGAGAGTCGTGGCGACGGCGTTGGAAATTTGCTCCCAGCTCTCCCGTCATCGAGCCGTCCGAGTTGCTCGCCCGGCACCGGCACGAATGGGGGGCCCTCTTTGCCCTCTGAGCCTGCGCTCGCTGCAGCATCCAGACTTCCCTCGTCTTCTTTTTTCCCAGCCATCCTGTGGTGTTGGGTCCTCGTTTTGAAGAGACGGTGGTCCGCGTCTCCTCCTCCTCTCCTCCTCCTCCCCCCCCTCACACGTTTCTCCTCTGGCCCCCTCCTCCTCCCCCCCCTCACACGTTTCGTGGCCCCATAGGGAGCGTCCCCGCGTGGCCCCATGGCTGCCGTCCGCATGCGTCCCGCACACCCATTTCGGCACACCCCTCACACGTTTCGTGGCCCCACAGGGAGCTCCACCGAAGGCCCCAGTGCTGCCGTCCGCATGCGTCCCGCACACCCATTTCGGCACACCCCTCACACGTTTCGTGGCCCCATAGGGAGCTCCACCGAAGGCCCCAGGCTGCCGTCCGCATGCGTCCCGCACACCCATTTCGGCACACCCCTCACACGTTTCGTGGCCCCACAGGGAGCTCCACCGAAGGCCCCAGTGCTGCCGTCCGCATGCGTCCCGCACACCCATTTCGGCACACCCCTCACACGTTTCGTGGCCCCACAGGGAGCTCCACCGAAGGCCCCATGGCTGCCGTCCGCATGCGTCCCGCACACCCATTTCGGCACACCCCTCACACGTTTCGTGGCCCCACAGGGAGCTCCACCGAAGGCCCCAGTGCTGCCGTCCGCATGCGTCCCGCACACCCATTTCGGCACACCCCTCACACGTTTCGTGGCCCCATAGGGAGCTCCACCGAAGGCCCCATGGCTGCCGTCCGCATGCGTCCCGCACACCCATTTCGGCACACCCCTCACACGTTTCGTGGCCCCATAGGGAGCTCCACCGAAGGCCCCAGTGCTGCCGTCCGCATGCGTCCCGCACACCCATTTCGGCACACCCCTCACACGTTTCGTGGCCCCATAGGGAGCTCCACCGAAGGCCCCATGGCTGCCGTCCGCATGCGTCCCGCACACCCATTTCGGCACACCCCTCACACGTTTCGTGGCCCCACAGGGAGCTCCACCGAAGGCCCCAGTGCTGCCGTCCGCATGCGTCCCGCACACCCATTTCGGCACACCCCTCACACGTTTCGTGGCCCCATAGGGAGCTCCACCGAAGGCCCCATGGCTGCCGTCCGCATGCGTCCCGCACACCCATTTCGGCACACCCCTCACACGTTTCGTGGCCCCACAGGGAGCTCCACCGAAGGCCCCATGGCTGCCGTCCGCATGCGTCCCGCACACCCATTTCGGCACACCCCTCACACGTTTCGTGGCCCCATAGGGAGCTCCACCGAAGGCCCCAGTGCTGCCGTCCGCATGCGTCCCGCACACCCATTTCGGCACACCCCTCACACGTTTCGTGGCCCCACAGGGAGCTCCACCGAAGGCCCCATGGCTGCCGTCCGCATGCGTCCCGCACACCCATTTCGGCACACCCCTCACACGTTTCGTGGCCCCACAGGGAGCTCCACCGAAGGCCCCAGGCTGCCGTCCGCATGCGTCCCGCACACCCATTTCGGCACACCCCTCACACGTTTCGTGGCCCCACAGGGAGCTCCACCGAAGGCCCCAGTGCTGCCGTCCGCATGCGTCCCGCACACCAGGTGTGTGGCGTGCCGACATGGGCGTCGCGGCGCGCGGGCGCTGCCGTCGGGGTTCCCAGGGAAGCCCCCTGCAGAGGCGACGCTCAGAGTCACGAGTACCGAGAGTCACGCAGACCCAAACTGTTCACAGTCGTATACATACATTTACACTGGGCGTATCCATGCACGCATTCATGCGAATAGAATCAATCGCGCGCAGATTCATTCATAATCAGACTCGCTCGCGATCCGACTCGCACGCGCTCAAGCTTTCATATTCGGACCTATCGTCTTCGTTCGTGTTGTGTACACTGCCACGCATTTCGGCGCACCCCTCATACGGCTCGTGGCCCCATAGGGAGCGCCACCGAAGAAGATATTCACAATTGCGGTACTCTCAACTGCATATGGTTGGGTCCTTCGCCAGGCTAATTTGGATTTCAACGAGACGCTCCAGGGGCACCCAGCGGCGAGCGCTTTCGAAAAGCTGCAGATGTTCAAGGTTTCGATTCGTAAGGTGGCCCTCGGCTTAGAATGCGATTTCAAGGCCAAGGCCAGCGTGGCCATCAAGCTGATCAGAGCCATCGAAAGGGCCCTTCTGGAGGAGGTCTCGCGGCGCCTGTCCCGCTTCCCGGACTTCGGGCCGCGGGTGGCTAACCCGTGTGATCTCCCCCGGAGCCTCGCGCGCAAGCTGGCTCACCTGCGCCAGGTTGCAGCCCGGCTGGCGAAAGAGCACGCGCTGGACGAGCTGCGGCGTTCTCACGAGGATTTAAGCAGCGCCGATGCCTTTAAGGCCCAGGCCGCTCGACAGCGCAAGCGGCGACTCATCCATCGCCTGGCCCCGGGCAGGAGCTGCGCGTTGGCCGCGGTTCTCAAGGGCAACGGCGAGGTCACCGCGGACGTGACTGACATGGCCCATGCCTTGTGGGAGCAGCGGGCAAAGACCTTCCAGGTGCAACGAGGAGTTGCTTGACGAATGCCTTCGCGACGACGAGGACCACCGCCCCCTCGCGGACGTTCTCAACTTTCGACTCGACTGGGTTCGCCTGCGAACATTTCAGTTCGAGAGGGCCATCAAGAATGCCAGCAACTTCGCCCCTGGCCCGGACGGCGCCCCGTTTCTCGCTTGGATGCGCTGCGCCCGCTGCTCTGCGTCGCTTCTTTACGCCGCTTCCAAGCGCATCCGCGGGGAGGGTGCCTCGGGGCTCGCGGCGGACGAGGCCCGGATGTTCAACGCCAGCCTTCTGTGCCTTCTTCCTAAGAGGCCAGCTGGCTCCTTGCCCTCGGGCGAAGGCTACTGCGCGCAAGAAGATACGCGTCCTTCAAACGTGGCCAACACTGACAACCGGTTGATCTCGAACGCTATTCGGGCGGCGGTTGAGCCATAATCAGCAACGGTATGTTGAAGATCCAGAGGGGATTTTTTGCGGGTCGCTCCACGCTTGCCAGCTTGGTGGGCCTAGACGAGGAGATGCTCGAGATTGCGTTGGGCCCAGATGACGGGTGGCGATTCTCTTCGATTTTGCAGCCGCCTGTCCGTCGCTGGGGCATCGCTACATGCGCAATGTCCTCTCGCGCTTCGGCTGGCCCCCTTGGTTGCGAGGTTGCGTGGGCGCGCTCTTTCGATGCAACTCTCACGAAATATCTCTAGGCGGGGCCGAGCGCGACCGCTTCGATATCACGCGTGGGGTTCGACAGGGCTGTCCACTATCTCCTCTGTGATTCGCTGCGGCAATCGACCTCCTGATGCGGTGCATCATTCGTCTCCTCCCCTGTTGCTTCTTGTTGGGGTATGCGGACCATTTGGCGCCGACGGACCGGCGGCTCCGGGATCGTTTACCAGTGTTGGGGTTGGCGTTCGGGGAGTTCGAGCGGATATCCGGCTTGGGGCTGAATCTCAGGAAGGCCGGCCTTAATTCGCTTTGCCGTGCCGCCCTCGAGGCCGCCCGCGAGCGCCTCATATCGTCGGCGCCGCTCTGGGGCGCCCTGGGGGTGGCGCACGTCGGCCAGGGCCGTGAGCAGCTGACATGGGCACCCGCCATGCGAAAGTTCCAAGACAGGTCGGAGGTATGGCGTGCGCTTTAGCTGGGAATGGCCAACGCATTGGACGCGTCTCGGATGTACCTGAGTTCGACGTTGTTGTTCTGCGCGCAGCTCGACCCCCTCCCAGATCTGTTCGACGTGGCGGAGGTCCAGGTGGTCAATCGCTTATTCGTGGGCTCGCCAGGCTGGATCGCGGTCGATTTCATGAAGAATTTTTAACAGCTTGGATTTCCATAGGAACTTTTTGAAGTTCGGGCCTCGGCGGTGGCCGCGCGGGCCCGTGTTGCTTTGCGCGACAGTGCCGCCCAGGGCGGCCTTCAAGTTGCCCGCCGCGCCGCATGGCTCCGGCAGCTCCTCATGAACGACGAGTTGTTAACCCATTTCGTGTTCTTCCGTGCTTGGTATTCCAATTGCTTTTTGTTCTCGTTGGAAGTTGCGGCGTCCAAGGTCAGCGCGGCGCGTGGCGGGGCCAGGGCTTCCGTGCAGACGAAGCACCCCGAGCGCCGCGCAGTTGGTCGGCAAGCCAGGGCGCCCGCCCTCCTGCGCCCGAGTTACTCGAGGCCTTCCGGGCCCACCTGCGCCGGCGCCTGGGCCGGTGGACGAGCCTCGCGTTCCCCGGCCAAGCGGTGGACAAGTGGTTGGCTAGTATGCAGATTCTCTCGGAATTCACGGCGTCTCGCATCCTTGCGGTCTTCATTCGGACCTCGCGCAATTGATGGGCAACTTCCCGCCGACTCCAAGGGCGGGGCTGCTGCGCGCTAGGCTGCAGCGCTTTCGATTCGATCGAGCGCTGCACCCGTTGCGGGGTCTACCACTCGCTTTGCTCCAGATTTCTGGGGCTTGTTCGCCCATCTGCGGAACTGGCGCTGGGCGCCTTCATCGGGGTCGCCGTCGACGGCGCTGAGTCGCGGGGCAATCTGGCATTGTTGCAGGTAGAGTGCTGCGTGCTCTGGGCCTTGGGTCTGTGCGCGCTGCGCAGGGCGCGCGGTCAGCCGAGGCGCGGCTTGGCGCAGAGTGAGGCGGCGAATGTGGTCAGGGGCTTTCTGCGCGAGCCCACGCGCAACCACCCCCGATCGCAGAGAATTCTGAGCCAGGCTTTCTGGGCCGCTCTGGCCCGGTGGCTCGGGTAGCGCGCGGTCTCCCCCCTCTTCCCCCCCTCTTTCTCCCGCCTTTTGTTCAATCAATCTGGGGCGCCTCATGTTGGGGCCACTTTTCGTAGCGTAGGGCTCGCCTGTTCCTTCTCCTCCTCCTCCTCCTCCTTTCCTTGCCTCTCGCGAGGCGTCGACGCGTTTTGTGGGGCAATTCGTATCGTTCTGTCCGCCCGAATTTCCGCCCCGCTGTATGTGTCATTTCCAGCCCGAGACGTGCGGGCGTCCAGATTGACAGGCAGTCGGGCGATGGCTTCCGCAGCCATTGAATGTCTGCTTTGGCTTTGGCTGTAAAGGCCAGCGCTTAAGCGGACAGTTTTTGTTTGTTCTATTTTTGGCATGCAAACATAACCCAATTCGGCTGGTCTGCAGAATTAATCGAATCCTGTGTGCCCCATGGGCTCGATGGCCGAAACGCGCCGCGGTGGTGGCGACTGTCGGTCCCGTCGCGCCTTTCTGGTGCCGTGCGACCGAGACTTTAACCGACGCGAGCTGCTTAAATTTGGTTTTCATGTATGTATGCAAAAGGTATATGTATACAATTATGTAAGCTTACATTCATATGTTCATATACACATTCATACATACACATATATATATATACATATATGTATGTATGTATGTATGTATGTATGTATGTATGTATGTATGTATGTATGTATGTATGTATGTATGTATGTATGTATGTATGTGTATATATAGCTATGTGTGTGTGTGTGTAGGACCAAACAGGACATATGCTGATTGATTCTGAGCGTTTCCATGTGATCTCCATGTATTCCGATGAATCTATATGGATTCGGATCGAATGTGGTTGATCTTTGTTGGTTCCGATCGATTATTGTGGATTCCTGTTGATTCCCGTTGATTCCTATGGATTCGTTTCGATTCCGATTGATTATTCTTTGATTTCTGTTGATTCCTATTGAGTCCTGTGATTCTCATTGGTTTCATGGACTCCTAATGATTCCCATTGGTTCCGTTGATCCGTATTGGCCCCCATTGGTTCTTATAGGTTGCTATTCATTCAACAGTGAGGGAGAGAGCGAAGAACAGGAATGGAGAAGGAGGACGTGGTCCTCACCTTCGCGCGAGTTTTTCGGTTTTCTTGTGAGAGCGTCACAATGATTATGCGTTTCTGTTTTGATTTGATACGTTGTCCAATGACAATCACAGGTTTCTTCAGTGTTGGACCACGAACATGTGACACTATTCAAGAATGAGTAACAACAAATACAGAACCAACGGAACCTGTGATATTACCCAAACAATTCATGATCAAGGGCTTTCGGGACGAATGTGTGCGGTGCTACATCGAGAGCCACATGTTGGAATTGGCCCGCCTTCCATTCTCGAAGTTGTTTTGAACTTTAAGACGAATGTGCGCAGCGCCGAAGCGAGAGCTACATTTTGAAAACGAGCCGCGCTCCATCCGTGGAATCGCTGTACATTTTGAGCTTCAGGGCGATAGGTGGTGAGGAAGTCTCCTGCGAAACGCCTGGCCCGCCCTACCGGCACGTTTGGGAGTGTGACAAATAATAGTTGTTTATAAGGACACGGTATGAAGGAGAAGGAAGAAGAGTAGGAGGAGGAGGAGGAGGAGGAGGAGGAGGAGGAGGAGGAGGAGGAGGAGGAGAAGGAAAAGGAGGAGGAAGAGTATGAGGAGGCGGAGGAGGAGGAGGAGGAGGAGGAGGAGGAGGAGGAGGAGGAAAAGAAGGAACAGCAGGAAAAGGAGGCGGTGGAGGTGGAGGAGGAGGAAGACGAAGAAAAAGGAGGAGAAGGAGGAGGAGAAGGAGGAGGAGGTGAAGGGGAGGAGGCGGAGGAGCAGGAGGAGGAGAGTAGGAGGAGGAGGAGGTGGAGGAGGATGGAGGAGGCGGGAGTCTCTCCTTCCTCCCCCCCTTCGGCGCGTGACCGGAGAGGCGGGCTGCGAGATGGAGGAGTCCACGGGGTTCTCTTTCAGCCGCTGAGGAGCGCCATGGTGCGGGGAGGGCGCCGGCGCTCCCCTGAGGGCCAATCGCTGGTGGAACCCTGACAGATCAAGACGCTCCCGCAGGAAGGAGGTGTAGAAGGGAGGAAGGGGGCAGGGCGGAGGGAGGAGGCGGAAAGGGGCGAGGAACAGGGGAGGAGGAGGGAGGAGGCGGAGGAGGAGGAGGAGGAGGACAAGGAGGAGGAGGAGGAGGAGGAGGAGGAGGAGGAAGAAGAGGAAAACGAGGAGGAGGAGGAGGAGGAGGAGGAGGAGGAGGTGGGGCGCCAGCTTGTATAAGGGGTTGGGTGGTTTCCGCGTTTAAGCTCAGCTCTTCTTTCCGCTCCTCTCATCGCTCCTCTCTTTGCTTTTCTCTTCGTCTTTCTGCCCTCCGTCTTCATTTCCATACCCTTTAGTTCATTTTGCATTGTGATCACTGCTTCCTATTTCTCCTCGTACTTTGTCCTGCCCTCCCTCCCACCCTGGTACCTTCCATCCCTTTCTCCTATCCTCCCTAATCACCTCCGTTCTCTCCCCGTTTTCTTCTCACCGTATGTTCTCGCACCCGTTCTCGCCACCTTTCCTCCTGCACTTCCCCACGCTGTCCTCCTCCTCCCCCTCCTCTTCCTCCTCCCCCTCCTCCTCCTCCTCCTTCTTCTCCTTAACATCATCACCATCATCATCATCATCATCATCATCATCATCATCATCATCATCATCATCATCATCAGCATCATCATCATCATCATCATCATTATCATTATCATCATCATCATCATCATCATCATTTTTTCGCGTTCTCCACCTCATCGTCTCTCCTATTCCTCCTCTTCCTCCTCCTCACCGTCGTCATCATCATCATCACTATCATCATCACTATCATTCATCACCATCGTCACCATCACCATCACCACCATCACCATCACCATCACCATCACCATCATCATCATCATCATCATCATCATCATCATCATCATCATCATCATCATCATCATCATCACCAACAACGGGGCCGCATCGACGCCTTCGACACCAGTCTTCGTGAGCTCGGCGGTCGCACGCAGCTGGTCGAGCAGGAGCAGCAGCAGATGCGTACGGACATCGAGCGCATTCAGTCTTCCCTGGCAATGGCAGAGGCC